TCGGTAAGGAAAGATATGAGAAGCGTTAAGTTTTGGAGGACCAACGTGCGTGATCTGGCATCTCTTATTATCGCGTATAAGACTCTGGAAGAACGGCATTGTTAGCTCCATCTACTGACTCGATCTCGATAGAACATACCGCTTTGATGATTCGAGGGTCCCGAGTGATGAGAACTTCAGAGAGTGCACTATCGTCGATGATAGGCGATGATGGACTGGTGGTTTCGTTCATGGTCGCAGAGCGGGGTCTCTTCGTAGGGGTTGAGAGGTGCTCTTGGGCCCTTGAATACGGCCAGTCCCTATGAATCATATCATATAAGCAAATCGCGGTCTAGAAAGCCATATTGTGAGTAGGGGGATGTCCTTACAGTGGACAATCAAGACGTCAGTGTTCGATTTCAATGAAGGTAAAGGAACCCGACACGCCCAGCTCTCGGAGGAGCTCCTCCCCGTCGACCTCTGATACGTGTTCTCTTCATGTCCACGAACCAGAGAGCAAGTGACGATGTAAGTGACACTTCGGAATTCCACTTTTCCTGGATCTTTTGGACTCTAGCTCCGCCCACAGTAGATCCTGGACTGGTTCTCCATCTTCTCCACAAAGGTGGTCCATGAGGTAGCGGATCAGGATCAGGAACCACACGGTATTCCTGTATGTAAGACCTCGTCAATCCGCAGATTTTCATTTGTTGCGTTTTCGCGCACGTATCTTTGCTCTCGCTAGGTTTTACTTTCTGAAGGAATAGGTAAGCGGTCCCACTATTCCAATCTATCTACACGCGTACCACTACTAGCTATGATTGTCATACAAGTTTCATCTACGTTGACCTTTCCTCGTAGTCCGAGATACTACACCGGCCGGTTTCGCTGACAGTGGGGTGTTTGCATCCTTTTCTCGGTGCCAGAACGAGAGATATGTCTGACTTTACCGCACCTATAGACTTATACAACTAGTACGATTTAGCCTTTTCGCGCAGTGCGATTGCTGGGTGGTAATGGGTTTCGGCAACATTCGGACTGGTTGGTCGCGGAACACATGAGCCGCCATCAGGGAGATCAGCAAGGGCCGTTCCGCAGCGGAAATGAATGGTTGCTGACTTCCAGTCGTCCTGACCAATCCACCTCTGATGGTACTGTCAGGGCAAGGGTCCTGGTAAAGCAGACAGAAGTTTGTTTGAGAACATCTCATTCCTGTCTAGAGATCTGTCACTGTTAAACATCACCTAAACCTTTAGAGAAGAGACTGAAGATATCAGCTTGAGACCACTTCATGACGATCGCGCCAATGTGCCTCTTTTCTCTGGTTATCGTGGTTTGAGATGCACCTCGAAAAACAGCCACGAAGGAGCAAGGCGGGTACTGAGTGCGGTCACGAGGCGTGGGGGTTTAACCGAAGGGCCACGTCAGCTATGCAGGGATGTGCAGGGCGTTCAGGTGAAGAATAGAGGGCGTTCAGGCTGGACGATAAAAAGGAAGAAAAAATAACAAAAACATACAACAGCCGGGATTCGCTGGTGGTCACCCACCCAACTACTAACCGGCCGGCGTGTGGCTTAAGTACGGCTGAGCGGACGGGAAGCCCTGTTTTCCACACCCTGTGGTCGTATGTGCCAGTTTTCACTTCTCTTTATGCTAAATAGGAAATAATTGAAGTTGTATGATTGGCATCATTCAATGTCATGTTTTACCTCTTCAGTTAAGCCGGTGTGGAAACCTGACTGGGAAGATTATCATCTTGTAGACGCAACAACAAGTGAGGCTGCCTCTGGATATGAAATCTGTTGGTCTTGCGTGCACCCACAGCAATCCTACCATTGTGGTGGAAACCCCTATGTTTACCAAGCCAAGATATATATTTCTTCCTCCGTCCTGGAGGCGGGAATGAGGGAGGAACGGAACTTGGGAGAACAGCCACAAAACTAATATTATTGCTAGCTATGGCTTATCTTCGTCTCCCCTGAGTAATAATATGTTATTCAAAACATAAGAAAAGCTTTTATTTCATGAGCCACTCAGATGTTCCCCAGACCTTATCTCATACACAGCTCATGATTGGCTTTCGACTACTGACATCCTTCTAATTCCAATAATGGTTGACTGTTTGTTGTGACCTTGCAGAGGATAGGGACTACATGATATTGGTGGAGCCGGAGTACTACAAGGCTTTCATCGCAAATACAAATTACGTACAAGGCAATACGACGAGTATATGTTGAAAAGGGGCTGATGGACTCCATACTTTGATTCAGGCCTTTGTATTCACACTAGAGTACAGGGAAAACCCTACGGGCGAAAACCTGTACTAAGGCTCGACTGGTATGCCTTACCTTGCCTTACCTTGCCAATGTGATGAATGATGCCTGCAGCACCACAAAGTCGGTCTTCCGTACTGCTAATGATGAGCCTGAGTCTGGTTGGATGGTCGAGGAATCTATTACGCGTATTAGTGATGAGTGGTGCCAGAATTATTTTTACCTTCCTTGTCCTTGAGTTTGGTGGCGATCTCTTGGCACTGTATCGGTGTTAGTATGCTTGCCTTTATATGAGATGGAATCAACAAGTATAGCATACGTTCTGGGATGGCATGTTAGTTGGCCACTGGTGCGTAATCGGATTTGCTGTACAGCCCGATAGAATGTACTCACAACCTGGAGGAGTACCATTGTTAGTGTTTATTCAATTCCTGTAAGATAGAGGGAGAGAAGTGACTCACAATCTGTGGATTCGAGCATCGACTATGATTAACCCAAGAACTCATAACTGTAGGGTGATAAACATACACACTATGATATTCAACCATGACGTTGTCAGTTTGTTGAGATTCAGATAACAGTGTCCCATGGATGAACCTTACGTCCTAGAAAGTCAAGTCAGCACTATCACCAATGGTTAGAGACTGGACCTGCTTACAAACTAATTTCGTCTCAGTCACATCACATCTCAGTCAACTTTTGCAAGGGGCAAGGTTCATACACTCTATCATATCAAGCAAGTTAATTGACAGAGTGATAGAGTATTTCTTAGAAAGAGTTTTCCTACAAGCTATGGTTCTGTCAGCTCACAACTCGACCAATTGTGATTAGGCAGAATGATACGACATACTTTCTTGATTTCCCATATAATCAGCGTGTGTTGGAAGATCCCCCACATTCGAAGTATGCGAACATACCACCTGTCGAATTTCGTGCTGTTAGTTTGCTGTTTCCCATCTAGTAGCGGGGTTCGTACATCCTAAGAGTCACCGTCGGTCAGCTAATGTTTCAATTGGCGTTCCGTTGTTAGAGGGGACTTACTTTCTAAAAGCATCACGTCAGCACTGTTGCATCAATAACCCAGGAAAGCCAAAGGGTTAAGTGCGTACAAGCTATATTTTTGTGTCAGTCAGGTCTAACAGTAGCCAAATGATGAGATGCCATACAATCTAATAACGCAATCAGAGACTCCGGTGATCAATCAATAAGCCTTTGGAACTGATTTCGTACATCCTTTGTATACATGTTAGTCATCGTGAAAGTCGACCCTCAAAGGATACTCGAAGCGGTTCATACATGCTAGAAGTGCTGTTAGTATCAGACCAGACCTCATATGAGCAGGTGGCCACTTACAAACTAGAGGCCTGTTAATAGAGGATAATCAGAGTATTCAGAGTGTTTAGAGATCATACACCCTGCAGTTTTGGTTAACTATATGTCTGAATACCTATGTATGGTCGCCATGGTGGTCATAATGGCGCATGATGAACGTACAATCTGTGTAAGGCAAGACGTCAGTGGGAAGTTTTAGGGTCAACCTATCCAGTCTTGCCACTTACAGCCTTTGTAAATATGTGAGCAGGTGTCTTAGCAAGCCTATTGTATATAGAAGTTACGCACAAGCTGCCCATCATTGTGAGTAAGGATATGCTAAAAAGAATCATGTCTTACTTACGACCTGATTTATGGCTGTTAGAGCTGACCTATACAGCAGCTGCTCAAAGAAAGGGATATATTGCTCATACATCCTGGAGATTCGCTCAGATTAGTCAATGGTCTGTTTTGATTATCCATCGAGGATATAACGCACAACCTAGCGGATGATCAGCAATTCAATCTCTCAATGAGGGTATTCTAACTCAACGCACAAACTAGACAGATTCGGTCAGCTGGTCTCCAAGTCAACTGTCGAGAGACAAGATTTATACCGGCTGTAACCGGGTGCATCATCGTTAGTCAAATCTGTCGAGACTGTGCGTTTTGATTGTTTGATCCTTACATCCTAGGAGGGTTGTCAGTAATCTTGAAAGTCCACAACCAGTTTGTTGGAGAAGGGAAATTTACTCACCACGTCGCGACGTTGTATGCTCATGTCAGTAATGAATGGGAGAGGTGCACTGAAGGCGAGGCCAAGCCAAAAAAGAAGCACGAATTGCATGTTTGGAGTCTAGTAAAAGATGAACTAAAGCCGAGAGTGAGAATTGAAAAGAAAGATTAAAGTCAGGGGGCAGAATCATTCAGGATGTAAAGTTTATGCAGGTCCTTGAGCATCTTATATTTAAAGTACCCTATCTGTGCAGGGTTAACTGTGTTTTCGGCCGCGAGGGGTATGCGCCTCGTGCCTGTCTGTCATGGTGACCCTATTGGGGCCGCCGGGCATACTTCGAGCAACTTGGAAGCCAAGGCAGTACTTCGTAGCCAATTTAGCAAGAAGTGGAACGGTTACCCGAGTGACAGGACTCAAATATGTCTGATATATTGGACTCGCGGGGAATGAGTGTATCATTCCTTAGGGCTAGAGTTTCCCCCTTTTAGCACCTCCCAAATGAGAAGTCCAGCCACGGTTTGGCTTACATGATAAAAGTCAATCCAAATTAGATTAAGCTAGCTACTTAAAGTTAGCTACGGACCGTGGTAAGCAAACATATCTTAGCCGAGGCCCCCACTGCAATCCTCCGATTACTGCTATTACTCCTCGTCATCCCTGCCTGCCAAAAACGCCGCCAAAGCCGAAGACAAGGAAAATCTTCACAGGAATGCAGCTTCGGCCTCGTCAAAGGCCTTGCTGATCTGCTCAATGGACGGAGCAGCCTTGCCCATTGTCTCCTTCGGAATCTGTTGATTTGCCTGCTCCTCAAACATCTTCTTCTCACTGTGCAAATCCTGCACGGACTCCCGGGCTGGCGGACCCACTCCAGCCTCATTGAAAAGAGGCGCCTGTAATCATTTAGAATCGGAAGATTGGGTACCAAGCACGGAGTCTAGCGTACCTTGTCCTTGGCAACTGTCAATGCATCAAGTAGAACTGGGGACATTTTTGTGTAAGCCTCGTAGTACTGGGCCGCTTCGTCAGGAGTAAAACCACCGCTCCCAGCGAGGTTCTCTCGAGCGGTTCTGGCCGCAAGCTTTGCGTTGTTGACGGCGCTGGCGGTATCGATGGCACCAGAGACGCCTCCTTGGTAGTTCTGCAGCGAGTCCCTCGCGTCTCCAATTGCCCTGGCGAGGTTGTCCATGTCGGAGATGGCCTCCGCTATGTTGGTGGCTGCCAGCGCGCAGGAAGCGCCGAGAGCAAGGTAGCAGGCAAGGTTCTTCAGCAACATTTCGAGAGCAAATTGTGTCCGACCCAAAGATAGTTCTGAGGGTTCTAGGTTATGACCTTTTGTAGGTTGGAAGACTACCACTGCGGAGAAGGCACTCTTTATGAGTCCTTGTTCTTGATGGCATACGGGATTTCCGGTGACGTCCAGCATTCCATTATGTGCAGATCTGCATATTTCTCAAAACAGGATGCTTGCTGATACTTATCCAAACCTGTTTTATTGCTCTGTTTTCTTCATGATGCCTCTCAGCTTATGTAGTCCGAGTCCGGGTTGTATTAAGAGCGCCATGGGAGGTACATCTCAGGTATATTCCTTAATTTTATACCTCATAAGGCTATTTTCTAAGTACTCGGTAAGCACCCAATAATTAGTAACTCCTAGGTATATATTATCTTGGAAGGTCTATGAATAGGATACATTTATCTTTTAGCTGGACAGGTTTATTGATCGTCTGCTACTACGAGGTTCTATATTTATGTGATGCCGTCGGTAGTTACGAGAGCAACTCCGTATCCCCTCGCGGCGGGCATACTTCATATCCACTCATTACTCCCCCTACCTCCTATGCTTGTTTACATATTATCTGTTTACAACTAGCTTAAAGGAATGTATAATAGCATGCAGTGTAGATATGTAGCAGGAAGGGGGCCCCCTAGCTTAAGGAGAGGTCAGGTTGCAGCATTCCTTATGCTCCATGCAAGGAGACCTATGAATATCTTTCAGGAGACCCGCAGACTGATCAGCTACTAAAATCCAACGGCTACAACGGCCAGACGACCAGATCATGCAAAGGAGATGTCAGGGTCAACGACAAAAGAGCATCTCTGTGATCAGTTCCCACAAATCAATCTCTTCAATTCTCTGCTCTTGTTTGTCAGATCCGAGGTCACACTTTGGAGGAGAATTTCTGAGGGACTGCTGTGATCACTGACTGCAGAGTCATTGTTACACATATCGACGGTAAATGTCAAACTTGACGTTCGCATAATCGCACGTGAAGAGTAAGCCGGGCCCGGAACAAAAGCAGTTCGAGTTGACATATTCTCAGAATAAGCACGCTCATACCATGACATCGTCCACTGCAGAAGCCGCCTCCGTCAAGGCAGGCGCTCCCTCACCGATTGCGATTGTCGGAATGGGGATGCGCCTGCCCGGAGGGGTACGCACTGCGGATGACTTCTGGGATGTTCTCATCGACCAGAAGGATTGCTCCTCCGAAGTCCCCAAAACTCGGTATAATATTGACGCATTCTACGACCCGGACAAGCCTCAGTCCGTGAGAACGAGGCGCGGATATTTCCTCGAGGATGACTACTTGGAGAAGGCCGACACGAACTTCCTTCAATGGATTCCGGGATTTAATACGAGCGAACTGGATCCTCAGCAGAGGTTATTGTTCGAAGTCATCTGGGAGTGTATGGAAAATGCGGGACAAACCGGCTGGCGCGGCAAGGATATTGGATGCTATGTCGGTGTATTCGGGGAGGACTGGCACGAATTGACTGCAAAGGAGTCACAGGTGATCCCTCGTACTCACGTCTTCGCCAATGGAGGGTTTGCACTATCAAATCGGGTGTCATATGAGTTCGACCTAAAGGGACCAAGGTAAATCGCGTCGAGCCACCCCCGTTGAAGAAAAGCCTCTCGGCGTAGTACCTCGCTAAATGAAAGTGTAGCCTCACCATAGCGACAGCTTGCTCTTCCTCTTTAAGCGCTCTCCATGAAGCCTGCCAGGCACTTCAAACGGGCAGCTGCTCATCCGCCATTGTGGCCGGAACCAACATGCTTCTCACCCCTTCCATGAGCGTGACAATGTCTGAGAACATGGTCCTCTCGCCTGATGGGCTGTGCAAGACATTTGACGCGGATGCGAACGGTTATGCGCGCGGCGAAGCTGTGAATGCTGTCTACATTAAGACCCTGGACAAGGCCATAGCAGACGGCGATCCTATCCGCGCCGTTATCCGCGCCACATCGGCCAACTATGACGGCAGAACGGCAAAGATTTTCGCACCAGATATTGCCGGTCAAGAGCGGCTTATTAGAAAGGCCTACGAGCGAGCGCAGATTGACAACATCGCAGAAACGGCTTTTGTGGAGTGCCATGGCACCGGCACCAGACGGGGAGACATCGTCGAGGCTACGGCAATTGCTCAGACTTTTCATCCGCACGGGGTCCATATTGGATCGGTTAGCACAAAGCCATGTTTCGATGCCGTCTTGGGGATCGCACTAACCTGGCCTAGGTGAAAACAAACTTTGGTCATGGCGAGGGCGCCTCTGGCCTTACCGCCGTTATTAAGGCTGTTCTGGCTCTGGAGCATCGGACGATTCCACCAAATATGCATTTTCGACAACCGAACCCTTCCAGTAAGAGCCAGTCGCTTTTCTGTTGTGGTCAGGTTTTGAGCACTAACGTATCCTACAGTCCCCTTCCAGGAAGCGCGACTCAAAGTTCCAGTCGAGCCCACCCCGTGGCCCGAGAACCGAAAGGAACGAGTCAGTGTCAACGGCTTCGGTGTAGGCGGAGCTAACGCTCATGTAAGTCACGAACAGACTCATATGCAGGCAAACAAACATGCAGCAGCACCCTACTAACCTCCCGTTGAAGGCTATCCTGGAATCTGCATCAAGCATCGTGTCTGTGGAACCCAAACAGGAGTCAAGGCGGGGACTGGCTCCTCGACTTGTGGTCTGCTCCGCTCATAGCAAGACAGCCTTGGACGCCCGGGTGGATGCAATTAGATCTTATTTGGCTCTTAGACCGCAGGCTCTGGCCGACGTCGCATATACACTTGGGGTTCGTCGCGATCACCTGTCTCATCGGTCGTTTACTATTGTCAACAGTGACGGCGAGATCCTTGGTGGGGAAGTCCAATCATGTCATCTTTCTGACACATCGCTACCCCTTTCACTGGTATTCACCTTCAGTGGACAGGGAGCTCAGTGGGATGGAATGGGGGTGGACCTCATTCGAACATTCCCCAGCTTTCAGCGAGACATACAATTCATGGACCAGATTTTGCAACAGCTACAGTCTCCTCCCGCATGGAGTATAGAAGGTATGGTCACACTTATCCCGATACTTCCATCAAATTATATGGAGTTATAATTATGCAAACCTAACCATGACAGACCAACTGGGAAAGCCACCAGGGCTCAGTCAAATCGACATTCCAGAGATTTCCCAGACACTCTCTGCTGCCATTCAAATTGCCTTGGTCAACCTTTTCAAGGACTGGGGAATCTCTCCGTCAGCAGTTGTAGGTCACTCTAGCGGCGAGGTCATTGCGGCGTATGCGGCGAACGCCGTTTCACTTCGTACGGCTATCATCCTAGCATACCTACGTGGACAATGCGTGTCCAACGCTCCTTCCTCAGGTGGCATGGTAGCCGTTGGGATGGATGAAGTGTCTGTCAAGCCCTATCTTTCTGAAGGGGTGGTTGTCGCGTGCGAGAATAGCCCCCAGAGCGTTAACCTATCCGGGGATAAGACAAGGTTGGCCTCAGTGGTTGACAGGATCAAGGCGGACAAGCCAGAAACATTTATACGATATGTTCCAGTACCTGTGGCGTACCATTCGTGTGAGCTTAACATTTCTTTTCACCTTTTATTACCTCGCAATGGCTAATGAAATCAACAGCCGACATGCGACCAGCCGCAGCCCTTCTCGAGTCACAAGTCGCCCCCTTTCTCCAACACAATGACTCAATGCTGCCCATGTACTCCACTGTCACTGGCAAGGTGATATCAGACCCGGCTGCCCTCGATGCAGAGCATTGGCGGAAAAACCTTGAACTCCCTGTTCTGTTTTCGACTGCGGTGGCTAGTGTTCTGGCCGAGAGTCCTGAGCGCAGAAAGATCTTCCTCGAGATTGGATCTCATTCCATCCTTTCGGGGCCACTCCGCCAAATTTTCACGTATAAGTCGAGTGACTGTGTCTATCTTCCGACCCTCATCAAGTCAGAGAGCGAGACGTTCTGTCTACTTAAGACAGCGGGCCAGCTGTATCTCCATGGGCACTCTGTGGACTTTCAAGCTGTAAATGGGAAAGGAGACATCGTTACCAACCTGCCTGCGTATCCCTGGGATAGAAAGAGTTTAAACTGGCAGGAAAGCCGTTTGAGCCGTAACTGGCGCTTTCGTGCGCATCCGAATCATGAGCTCTTGGGTTCGCGAATACTGGAGGCAAGTGATCTCGAGCCGGGATGGAGGAACGTGCTTGAAACCAGAAACGTGCCATGGCTATTGGATCATCGTGTGTCGGGGGAGGTTGTGTTTCCGTGCGCCGGGTACATTGCCATGATTCACGAAGCCATGCGCCAGCTCTCGAACAACAACGAGTGCACCATTCAAAACCTTTCCATGCAGGTTCCGTTGATCCTGCCACGGTCAGAGCCTATCGAACTTCTGACAACCGCACGACACATCAGAGTCAATGATCGCGTAGAATCTGAATGGCATGAGTTCGCCATAATGTCGTATAACGGGACCGAGTGGATCAGACATGCCTTTGGTCGAGCCAAATCCGGCGTCAACAAGGTTGATTCGGAACTACGTGGGCCACAAGACTTCCCTCGGCGCGTTTCATCCGAGCTATGGTATCGGACGCTGGAGAAGGTGGGATTGAGTTATGGGCCTACTTTCCGAGGACTACAGGATATCACTGCCGACCCTTCAACATGTGTGGCTGCGGCTTCGATGCGCAGCTGCCAAGATGGCAAAGCTGTCCATCCGACAGTAATCGATGAGTGTCTGCAATTATTCACCGTAGCTGCATGCAAGGGGAGAGCAGTGCACATGACCAGACTCTATGTGCCCATGTTTGTGGGAGAGGTTCAACTCGGTCTGGGTCAGGAGACGATGAGAGCGGAAGCGACGATCAGCAATCGCACAGCAGAACTGGGCAACGGGAATGTGCGGTTGACGGCTATGGACCAACAAGACGCATCTATCAAGCAAGTACTTTCAATGGCGGACGTCACGGTTGCCCCGCTCG